GAACTGGACACAATACTCCAGTTGAGGCCTAACCAGCGCAGAGTAGAGCGGAAGAATGGCTTCTCGTGTCTGCTCATAACACACCTGTTAATGCATGCCAGAATCATGTTTGCTTTTTTTGTAACAGCATCACACTGTTGACTCATATTTAGCTTGTGGTCCACTATAACCACTAGATCCCTTTCTGCCGTACTCCTTCCTAGATAGTCTCTTCCCATTCTGTATGTGTGAAACTGATTGTTCCTTCCTAAGTGGAGCACTTTGCGTTTGTCTTTATTAAACTTCATCCTGTTTACCTCAGACCATTTCTCCCATTTGTCCAGATCATTTTGAATTATGACCCTATCCTCCAAAGCAGTTGCAATCCCTCCCAGTTTGGTATCATCTGCAAACTTAATAAGCATACTTTCTATGCCAATATCTAAGTTGCTGATGAAGATATTGAACAGAGCCGGTCCCCAAACTGACCCCTGCGGAACCCCACTTGTTATACCTTTCCAGCAGGATTGGGAACAATTAATAACTACTCTCTGAGTACGGTTATCCAGCCAGTTATGCACCCACCTTATAGTAGCCCCATCTAAGTTGTATTTGCCTAGTTTATCGATAAGAATATCATGCGAGACCATATCAAATGCCTTACTAAAGTCTAGGTATACCACATCCACCGCTTCTCCCTGATCCACAAGACTTGTTATCCTATCAAAGAAAGCTATCAGATAGGTTTGACACGATTTGTTCTTTACAAATCCATGCTGGTTATTCCCTATCACCTTACTACCTTCCAAGTGTTTGCAGATGATTTCCTTAATTACTTGCTCCATTATCTTCCCTGGCACAGAAGTTAAACTAACTGGTCTGTAGTTTCCTGGGTTGTTTTTATTTCCCTTTTTATAGATGGGCACTATATTTGCCCTTTTCCAGTCTTCTGGAATCTCTCCTGTCTCCCATGATTTTCCAAAGATAATAGCTAGAGGCTCAGATACCTCCTCTATTAGCTCCTTGAGTATCTAGGATGCATTTAATCAGGCCCTGGTGACTTGCAGGCATCTAACTTTTCTAAGTGATTTTTAACTTGTTCTTTTTTTATTTTATCTTCTAAACCTACCCCCTTCCCATTAGCATTCACTATGTTAGGCATTCCTTCAGACTTCTCGGTGAAGACTGAAACAAAGAAGTAATTAAGCATCTCTGCCATTTCCAAGTTTCCTGTTACTGTTTCTCCCTCCTCACTGAGCAGTGGGCCTACCCTGTCCTTGGTCTTCCTCTTGCTTCTAATGTATTGATAAAAAGTCTTCTTGTTTCCCTTTATTCCTGTAGCTAGTTTGAGCTCATTTTGTGCCTTTGCCTTTCTAATCTTGCCCCTGCATTCCTGTGTTGTTTGTCTATATTCATCCTTTGTAATTTGTCCTAGTTTCCATTTTTTATGAGACTCCTTTTTATTTTTTAGATCATGCAAGATCTCGTGGTTAATTCAAGGTGGTCTTTTGCCACATTTTCTGTCTTTCCTACCCAGCGGAATAGCTTGCTTTTGGGCCCTTAATAGTGTCCCTTTGAAAAACTGCCAACTCTCCTCAGTTGTTTTTCCCCTCAGTCTTGACTCCCATGGGACCTTACCTATCAGCTGAGCTTACCAAAATCCGCCTTCCTGAAATCCATTGTCTCTATTTTGCTGTACTCCCTTCTACCCTTCCTTAGAATTGTGAACTCTGTGATTTCATGATCACTTTCACCCAAGCTGCCTTCCACTTTCAAATTCTTAATGAGTTCCTCCCTATTTGTTAAAATCAAATCTAGAACAGCTCCCTCCCTAGTAGCGTTTTCAACCTTCTGAAATAAAAAGTTGTCCGCAATGCAGTCCAAGAACTTATTGGATAGTCTGTGCCCCGCTGTGTTATTTTCCCAACATATATCTGGATAGTTGAAGTCCCCCATCACCACCAAATTTTGGGCTTTGGATGATTTTGTTAGTTGTTTAAAAAAAGCCTCATCCACTTCTTCCACCTGGTTAGGTGGCCTGTAGTAGATTCCTAGCATGACATCACCCTTGTTTTTTACCCCTTTTAGCCTAACCCAGAGAGACTCAACACTTCCGTCTCCTATGTCCATCTCCACCTCAGTCCAAGTGTGTACATTTTTAATATATAAGGCAACACCTCCTCCCTTTCCCCCCGTCTATCCTTCCTGAGCAAGCTGTACCCATCCACACCAACATTCCAATCATGTGTATTATCCCACCAAGTTTCGGTGATGCCAACAATGTCATAGTTGTATTTATTTATTAGCACTTCCAGTTCTTCCTGCTTATTACCAGGAATACTTCTCGCATTCGTATATAGGCATCTAAGATACTGATTTGATCTTGCCTCCCAGTTTTGCCCTGACCCTCCTGGTGTATATAGTGATCAGACAGCTTTCTTAAAACAAAGGCATTGTTTATTTTGGTAGTAGGAATAAAGCGTAAGGGGGAAAGGATTTTTTAAAATTGTCTACACGTATGTCTGTGACCTAAACATTTACCATTACCTGATGGTAATGAAGACGGGTCTAACTTGTTCAAACAGCCCCAATAGGGTCCTGTATCTCAGTCTGCTTCTCCCAAACAACTACAGCCCCTCTCTGGAGAGGAGGTTCATTTCAAACCATGCTATAGTTCTTTTGTTCTTCTGTGTCCCCAAGCTTTGACCCATCTTGTCAAAACAAGTCCTGTAGGCTCAGCAGCAGACCATACGAGTACTCAGAGCCAGTGATTCTGGTATTGTCCTTTAACAACTCTCAAGTGTTTGCTGAAAGGGTGGCTGTGACAGAGTGCTAGGTATGAAGTCAGCACTCTGGAGCTGATGAGGCAGACCTGTGCCTAATTTGTGAATGGGGCAGTGCAGTAAGGCTAAGTAAGCCATTAGCCAGAGCCCACAAATAGGCACAGGAAGGAAGTGAAAAGGGGAAAAAGCAGGCAGTGAGAGAGAGATTGCTCTCCCTCTGCTTGTAAAGGCGCTAGGTACGCTGTGAAGATAGTGGGACTCAATTATAAATAAACTGCACTGGGTGTTGGACCAGCACCAGGGTCTCTGCGTGGTTTGTACACAGAGACAGAAGCAGGACCAAGGAGGCCCTGGTACAGTGACTTATCTTGAGGTGGTGGTCTCTTTCCTGCCATTTTTCCAGATAGACTCCTGTTGAGTTAAACCAAAGTCCTACAAAAACACCCCAATACCCAGACCAACATACTGTATTCATTAATTATCACAGGGCACCTCCAAATCTGTCACAGCTCATACAACTATTAGAAATGTAAAAGGAATATCACACACTTTTCACATCATAATGGATGCTATGTACCATGTTTACTGCACAGGAAAGATGTTGGAATAGCACAGAAATTCCCAATGATATGATTTCTAGCACTCCATGTGGGTGTCCACAACAGCAGTGTCCTCAGAAAAAGTCCAGGAAGGAGGAGGTCTAGGCCTTAGAAGCCCCACCGCAGGAACTATCCCTCCTAAGATATATTAAATCCTACCCTTCTTCTGGAAGAACTTGAGGTTTCTCCCCTTGCCACTACTCCTTTGTAACCTGCAATTCTATAGATATTTCAGAGGGAAAGGAGTAAGTTATGTCTTACCGTTATCACCTAATTTACTGCCTCAGTGATAGTCCGATCCTTATCCTGGCCGGATGCTGCTATCTGCTGGAACATCAGCAGTCTCTTGTTTGGTAGTTGGGAACATTAATGTTTACCCACTGGACCAAACAAATATATTTATGCGATGTCTATGAGAAATTTCAGCAATTTCTGTTAACTTGGATAAGCAAATACTTAGTGCTTAGGGGTCTTGTTGAAGATGGTAGACACTGGTGGAGAATCGGCTTTTAATACAACCAACAAAAAAGCACTTGAAATGCACAAATATGTATTCTGTTTTTTTAGTGAACTAAAATCTTTCAAAAACTTAGAAGCTTTTTGGTTACTTTGAAATCCTGTTTTCATCCCATCTATGGCTGAGAGCCCAAACAGCTACTTACGTCTGTTTAGCGAAGTTGAATGGACACGCCAACACCTAGATTTCCCACTGTCCTGTGAAATGTGCAGACAGCTGTCCAGAAATCCATATTTTTTACTGGTAACAACCTTTCTCACAGAGATGTTGCTTCATGAGTACTGGAAATAAAATTCCTTGTGTGGTACATTTTGTAAAGCAGCACGTATACATGTTATCTATCAATAATAATTGTATTTCAAGGTGACTGCTTTTTTTTTCTCCTGCTTTCTGATTTTATGCAATACAACTTCTTTTCTGTATATGAAGACATCAGTGGTGCAAACAAAACAATGACTGAGCTGCCACAAGCTCTTAGCTCTGCATATAAAGTTTGTTAGGTATATTTTGGGTGTGACTTATAGCCGGTGTAGCAGATGGATAATTTTACTACTAGATAACTAAGAATCAATGTGAATGTTATGCTGATGGTAAGAACAGTCAGCAGCATTACTAAATGGTCCATCAGCGAGAGCAGAGTCAGCAGCTGGACCATTTAGCAGCATAAAGGAAAATGGCAATATGTCTAAATACTTTGTTCTACAGGCAATAGGTACCTCACTGCTATCTGTACAAACTGTGTTCCAGATAGTGCAGAAATTTCCCCCTCTTGAAAGGGTTACCTTGTAGGATACAATAAAGTAGACCTCATAACTTTTTACTGATCATTTTTTGTAACCATAGAGTTGCTTCAGTGTGTTCAGAGTTGGATTGCTAGCTGTAAAAACAGGGAAAGTATTGTTGGCAGTTGGTATGTTAACTAATTCTGATGGGAACTGCCTTTTTATGGAAGAAAAGATTTTGAAAGCAAGGCATCTGTAAAAGTTGGCACCAACAAGTGAACTTCAGGCTCTGGGCATCTATTAACATGTTTGTTTAGTGTTTTGGGGAAATCTATTCTGTTAAAATTGTTTATTTTTAATAAAATAATTTGTTTTTTCCCCACCTCAATGTTTGTAACAGGGCAGAATAAGCTGTACTGGAAGGTTGATGGTTCAGGCTGTCAATCAGAGAGGACGGAGTCCTCGAACACCCCCCAGCCAGCCTCATATCAGAAGGTACCACAGATGTTTTCTTTACACATTCATCACTGCAGCTGCTAAACATATTTTGCACAAAGGTGCTGGCAAGATTAGAGAGTTGGGAAGAAAGTATATGTGCAATATGGCACACAGGAAGAAACCTAATCTTCTCTTGTATCCAAAAATCCCTATAACTTTTGGCGCCATCAGATGTACAACAGGCAACTTATACAATCGTGTGATCTTAGTTTTTTAACCCTTGTCCTCCCCCCCTTCCTTGTTTGCCATGTTCACTTGCTGCATCTTGTCCCAGTCCAGGTCTACACCTAAAACTTAGGTCAACCTAGCTACATCATTCAGGGCTATGAAAAATGTCATGCCCTGTGCGATGTAGCTAGGTCACCCTAACCATCACAGTATATGCAGCTAGGTCAATGAAAGAATTCTACCATTTTGGTTAACCAAGTAGAGGGTCCCAGTTCACGTGTCTGCTGTGGTGGCATATATTCGTTCTGTTCATTGGTTATGCCCTCTGCAGTATCTTGCCATCAGCTGCCAATTACAACACAGAGTGTAGATATGACAGCACTAATTACTACATTCAGGATGAAATTAATGGATTTTTTTGCTCACATGAACAGTTTGTACCATATATACTTCCTCAGTTGCTAATACTGCACGGAAAACAGAGCCCTGCTAAATATTAAATTAGATACTAAAAAGTCCTGATAAAACCGTGGCCAGTTGTTTATGAGGATGATTCTCAGATTCCCCACCCTATTTCTCCACTTTATTTCCTCCTTTCTCAGAATTCTTCATGTTACCTAATCCTTATTTCTGGACAAGGAGGCTTGTGATGCATTTTTCTCTCATAAGCCTCACTCCTGAGTTGGCCAAAAGGCGGTCACTCAAGTGTTGAAAAGCACGTCTCGCCCACCCTCACCTAGTGCTATGCAAACTGCCTCCATAAAGTTCCAGGCCCAGGAATAACAAGGAGCTGATATCAAGGCCTGAATTCAAACCCTTTCCACAGCAGTGTGTTGCACACTGTCATTAGGCCACAAAAGCTAGTTTTATGTTCATTTTGCATAGTAAATGCAGTGGAGGAGCTATTTCAGGACTGCACAGCCACTGATTCATCAGTAGGTTGATATTCAATATCCCTCGTTGCACTGAATCAGCACCTTTGCAATTAAAAGCCCCTTATTCATCTGTGACAGGAAGAGCTGCCACTAGGAATTGTGGGTCAGAGCTGCAAGGAGCCTGCAGGTCACTAACTTCTAGAGAAGACAGCGTAAAAGCCTTTTGGAGGGGCTGGGGGGGCACTTAAAATTTAGGGAGACGGGAACATGCAGATGCATGAGAGGGAAAGAAAAGAGGAAACGAAGAAACAGAGAACACTAAGCAACAGAGATCAGTCTGGCTATGTTCTTTAAAAGAGCTCTCTGGTTTTTGAGCCCGTCCAAAAATATTTGTATTTCTCCAAGACAAAAAGAAATGGAAACAGTCAGATATGAAGATTGATATGCAAAATAAACTTCTAGTACATGCTAACTGAAGGCAGAATTTCACTTTCAGAGCCATGCAAATATTATTGGCCAAATGAATTCCATTACAGTTTGTTGCAGTAGGGTTGCACTGTGGGCAGAATTTGGCCATAGAAGAAATGAATTCATTGGAGCTGCATGACTGTAGCAGAGGACAGAAACTGGCCACAAATCTCATTTTTAATTACATATTTTTAAATTTAGTAAGTAAAATAGGACTTTACAGAGATTGCAAAAAGAACTTTTTGCTAAATAAGTTACTTATATAATGGAAATATTGTTACTTTCAATTGAAAAGGAACTGGTTAGCCACAGACAAGGGTACAATAAATTAATGGGCAAGAACTGCTGATCACAGAAATTACAGAAAACTGTATTTTGGGTGGAGGAAATCTGCTGATTGGTCATATTTTCTGCATTTTTCTTCCCATGTTCTTTTATTTTTACTAAGAACAGTTTAATGTCACAAGATCTTTTGTTCTTTAGTTTGTGTTGCTTATGAGCTACATTCTCATTCTTCTTACAGCAGAATGAGTTGCTTTGGAAATGATTATAAATATCACAAACAGATAACTGTTTAGTGAAGAATAATCCTCCAGAGCAGATGAATAAAATTTAATTCACATTAATGTAAATGTAAAATAAATGTCTTTAACTAGTAACAAATAAGAGAAGATAATAATGGAAAATCTAATGTGGAACCGAATATATTTGTGAATTGTGATAGTCTTTAGCTTCTACTATTTTCTTAAAGGTAAATATAATTATTGACAGTACAGATTTTCTGGCTTAATCAGTAATAGAGAGGGTTTCAGATGTATGAAAGACTAAAGCAGAGTTGTGGCTGTAAATATAAAGTATTACCAAAATTCTTGTACATTTTCTTTCACTGATTTAAACTACAGAATAAATGAAAACTAAAACATATTACTATGTATATAAACAAACTGACTTACCTAACATGATATTCCGTGTGAATGAGATAATTTTCTACTTCATATCTTTGCTACAAAATGTAGACTGAATCAAATTAATAAATAGAGTCACATTTCGTTGATTTTTGAGCCAAATTCTGCTCTGTTATGCTGGTGTAAATATGGAATTATTACAATGGGATCCAATGGAGTTAAGCTACATTTATAGCAGTCTGACATCTGAATTTGGTTCTTCAGTTTCATCAGAAAACATGGGGAAATGCCTAATAAACAAATGTATTTCATATATTATTTTAAGACCTCGATCTCGATCAAGGGACAGTGGTGATGAAAATGAACCAATTCAGGAACGATTCTTCCGACCTCATTTCCTGCAGGCTCCTGGAGACCTGATTGTTCAAGAAGGAAAACTCTGCAGAATGGACTGCAAGGCAAGTATTAAGTTTGTTTTAATTAGTGTTTCTGTTGAACCAGAGAGGGAACTCTGTTCAAATTCAGCTGTATCCTGTAATACTCATGCACCTCAGATTTCAGTGGGAATTCTAGGTACACAAAGGAGGCAGAATTAAACACAGGATTCAGACTTGGCCTTTGGCAAAGCCTCCAATTGGGGCCCACCCTTGTGGAGGTGGGAGGAGGGGACTAAGATGTAAAGAAGAATCTCAGTATTTCTTCTTAGAATAAAGCCAGCTTGAAAGTTAAGTGATACTTTGACAAAATTTCAAACATGTGAGTTTGTATTATTGATTTATCCAAAAGGTGAAGGTGAGTCACAGCATTTCCTACAGCCCACAGCTGGCCTTTGAGGTCCATGAAAACCATGACTAAACGTACTTCAGTTTATTAGAAGGAATGCAAGTCAGTTAGTGACTAGGGTAATGCCACCTTGCTGTACTCATGGCACGAGTTCCTTCCTGGCTAATAGACTGCAACAGAATCAGCTCCTATGATGAGCAGCCATTGAGCCCTGTGCTGACAGGGAGGGGCAGCTCACTAATAGGAATAATCTTCTTCCCCCACCCCCTTAGTTTTACACAAGAAGTCAGTAAGCACAGCTCTGAGAATAATATTTGTCTCAGTGTGTGCTCCCCTCTGCAGTAACTAAGGCTAGGTCTACACTACCCACCTGAATCGGCGGGTAGAAATCGATCTCTCGGGGATCGAATTATCGCGTCTCGTCGGGACGCGACAATCGATCCCAGAATCGACGCGCTTACTCCACCAGCGGAGGTAGGAGTAAGCGCCATTGACGGGGAGCCGCGGAGGTCGATTTTGCCGCCGTCCTCACAGCAGTGTAAGTCGGCTCCAATACGTCGAATTCAGCTACGCTATTCGCGTAGCTGAATTTGCGTATCTTAAATCGACCCCCCCCCCCCGTAGTGAAGACCTGCCCTAAGACTCACAGGTTGTAGAGCCTACATAAGCAATGACTGTGACTTTGAATGCTCCAAGGGACATTCTTCACCACATAGTACATATTCTATATAAAATATTATCCTAACCAACTTCAGTGGCCCTTTTTAACTGAGAGTGAGACAGCAGGTTTCAGTGATATCATCTGCTCTAAGTACACATGGTAATTTGAAGTTTTTTGCTCTTTTTTCAAGCAAGCATTAAAGCATTCAACATCTTCCCTTTATAAAACTTATTTTCAACCTACTACTCTGTATGTATATGTGCCTATGTATATAGAAAAAGAGAGACATTTCCTACACAGGTCACCTGCCCTGTTAAGAAAAATAAACGTGAATGAACAGAGTGGCTAGTGTAGAGAACTGCTGCTAGCCTGATTCATCCCTTCTGTAGTGGCTTTCATCCTGAAGGTCCCAGAGGGTTAAAAACTTATATAAATTAGTGTCATTGTAAAGTATTCCTTTGTAAATTACAGATTGTTTCAATCACTTCTTCCTTTTTAAGAGAGTTTCTTGTCCAGCTGCACCCATTTCAGTGAACCAGTTCACCTTGATTTGGTTCTAAGCATGAAAGGAGATAACCTTTTCCCTCCAATAACAGCAGTACCATAGTGTTATTCTCCTAACCCCTTTTCATGTGTTAGTTGAGAATATTACCTCCATACTGTTATTATAAAAACAAAGGCCAAATGATCTTTCCAGTGTACAGCTTAAGGGTCAGTTCTCTGTTGTACTCATGTGAAGTGACTCTGCTAGTAAAAGGAAAATGGACTCTCTCGAAGAGACTGAATGAGGGCCTAAACATTGAGTCGAAAGAGGCACTTTGAGCCACTCTCTTAGCTCAGAGAGAATGACTTCTACAACTCAGTTGTGTAAACTGGACATGCACGTCCATGTGAACAGAGATGTGAATCTAACAAACACACAATGCCTGTTGGCCACCAATCCTTTTAGCCCATTTTGGTCTGTTTGAAATCTTACAAAGGTAGGACCGAAACTTAGCTTGGTAGAGAGACTTGTGACTTTGTATAAGATAATTAATTAAAATTCAGACTTCAGCTGTTTACTTTTAAACATAATTAGTTTCTCATAATACAATATCTTACTCTTATTTTCCTAAGTAGTACGTATTGTTGATGAAACATCTTTCAACAGTTTGTCGATGGTTCAAACCATCTGAATACAAAGTTCTGTAGATGGCATTGTCTATAATAAGCAATACATAACTGGAATCGAATTTGGAGTTCAATAACAGATTACCAACGGGTTGGTTTTTTGAAGGAAGAATTGCTTCACAAACCAGTTGTCGTCCTTTGTCTGTAAATTTCCCACAAGAAAAGAATTCTGAAAGTTTCTTTTCTCATTCAGAATCAAGGGCAACATTCCAAAAAGATGACAGGTGATATCCAACCTTTTGTTCTGTAATCTATTACTTTGTTACTTAGATTCAAGATATATTTTAATGCTTATATCTATTCAGTCATTCCTGGGATCCCATTGAAACCTATGGCATTGTACAAGGTGTAATTTGACCCAGTTGTGCTCCTGTGTGTAACTGAGGGCAACATTTGGTCCATTGTATTTTGTCAGACACATAAATTTTCTTGCAGAAACATTCCTCCTTTTTCTCTGCGGTATGAAATAAGGAGTTCCCTACTGTTCTGTATTGCTAAGACTCTGTTCCATTCTGTTTATATTTAAGGTCAGTGGATTACCAACTCCAGATCTAAGCTGGCAACTCAGTGGAAGACCAATTCGTCCTGACAGTTCTCATAAAATGTTGGTGCGTGAGAACGGTGTACACTCTCTGATCATAGAGCCAGTCACGGCTAGGGATTCTGGAATCTACACGTGCATTGCCACCAATCGAGCTGGTCAAAACACATTCAGCCTGGAGCTCATTGTTGCAGGTAATCTCTTCATGCTAAGACTACATGTTGAAAATTGTTGGAGGTGTACATGAAATATTGAAAATGTAAGTTGAAGCTCTCTAGGAAAGACTATGGAATTATTACCCACTAAAATTAGTATCTCATTAATTCCAGGAGGTGAGTATTTGAACTATCATATGTTCAAATAAATGCATATAGTGCATGGTTACAAATGTGAAAAGAGATGTGTAACTGCATTTGTTACTTTGAACCAGATCCTTGTCAATGCTCTGACCCCTTTGTGCCTCTCCAGAAACACAGAGGGGCTATAAAACTGCCATTAAACTGACAGATGAAGATACTCCTGGTAGAAAGAAAACTCTGGCTCTGTTCCACTTGCCACTCAAGAATAGGGGGTATGCTGGGAAGAGAGAGAGGGCCAGAAGGCACTGCAGCCAGCAGAATAGTCATTACCAGTTGATACTGGGAAAGCAATGGTGCCCAAACATTTAGCTAAGTTTGCCCCCGTCTCTTGAGTTCTGTGCTAAACACAACTCAGCCAGCTCCTTGCAATAGCTCCAGTATTAACACTGTATTTTGCAGGGATACAGCAAGTGCTTGGGGATCGGATAGGTATGTAGCAGCCTATCAGGCTGATTGAGAGAAGGAGAGCTTGAAACTCAATAGGACAGCAAGGAAACTAAAAGGTAACATTTAAAAAGGATAAAATGAAGTCCTTCCTCCTCGAGAGAGGGTATGAGAAAACAAATCATGTGACAGATGTTAATCATATCCCTTAATGCACTAATGGAAGGCATTCAGATACTATGGTGAGGAGCACAGCCTAAGCATCTATACAAAATAGGATGCGGGGGAGGGGGGTACTGGACTGTCTAGTCTTAGTGGGGTGTTTTTGTTTTGCATATTGGGGGGGTGTTGGTCATATCAGCTCCTGGAGCCCATGGTCACAGGACATTCAAAAGACTATATGGAAGAGGAATAAGTTGAAATGACACTATTTATGTTAAAATATTTTATTGGTGAACAATTAGCCACGGTGCAGAGCATATGCTGATGGTCAGCTGGGCAAAGAAGAAATTTTATCCCAAATTCCTTTTGTGTATGTGCACAATCAGCCAAAAGATATGCTACTACATTTGTCTGAAGTCCACTTGAGGCAATAATGGAGACCACAAACCAGACTAGATTGCCAAACTAAGAGAGAGCTCAAATAATATCTGTATGAGATCAGTTTTGCCAGCTAATGGGCACACCTCATAGGATCCCAAAAATGAAGCCCCTTTCATTTGACAATATTGAGTGTGCCTTGTTCAGCTGAACTGAGAACTTAAGCATTTCACCGTGCTCTATTAGAACCCATCTTTCTCCTATTAAAGTCATAGACAGGACAAGTTTTACTTCCCTGAAGCAGGTGCGGGTCTAATGCAATTATTTTTAAAAGTTTACTGCCACTAAGTAGTGGTTTAAAATCTTCTACCATTTAACTGAATAACTGCAATGGAGGCTGAATGGTAATAGAATGTTGTCACTGTAAATATTGTTGCCATTTCTACGGTGTTTTCACAGCTAAGGAAGAACACAAGCCACCTGTGTTTATAGAGAAGCTACAGAACACAGGAGTGGCTGATGGATATCCCGTGCGACTGGAGTGCCGAGTCTCTGGGGTGCCATATCCTCAGATATTTTGGAAGAAAGAGAATGAGTCACTTACTTACAACACTGAAAGAGTGAGGTTAGAGCAGTTTAGTATTATATAATTAATCTCACTGACAAAGATCAAAGTAAATCATGACTGAAATAACCTTCAGGGGCTATGAGGTTGTAAGAATACTTAGTGCAAGGTTCACAAAGGGACTAAAGGTGCCTAACTGCCACTTTAGCTACCTAAATCACAGAATCAGACCCTCCTGGGATTCACAAAATCCCCACTCAGCTACCCCCAAACCCTGTAGGCACCTAAACTCATTCTATGCTTAATTTTTTGCAGTGAAAGTTCCCTATGTTTCTGCCTCTGAGCATGAGCACTGCTGCCCCATGGCAGACATACAAACACTTATGTCCCAGTGGTTCGCCCATGAGGGGAAGATTCACAAGCCTGTAGGGTAAACTCTGAGCCCACTTAGCAAATGAGCTATTTGTGGGGGGACTTACTCAAAATGAGTGGGGGGTAGGAGGAGGATGACCTCTCTTGGAACTTAGGGGTGAGGGTTCTCAACTGGGATGTGGGAGAGCCAGTATCCAGTGTGCCTACTCCAATGAATTTAATTATTTATTCACAGTGGAAAGGATTCAACAGCAGAGGCTGAAGGAGCCCCATGTCAGAATAGCCCAATGGTTAGAGCACTCTCCTAGGAGGCAGCAGATCCCAGTTCAAATCCCTTCTCCCCTTCAAGTAGAGGGGGGTCTTGAACCAGATGTTTCCTTCAGGCAAATGCCCTAACCATTGGGCTAGAGAGTATGAGGTTGCTTCCCCCCACCCCAACCCAGCATGGGTGCCTAATGCTAAGAGAGGGTTTGCAGTTGAGGATTCAAGCAGCAGGAGGTGCCTGTCAGTGGCTTCTGTGAATCCCATTCCAAGGTGACTGTTTCCCACAATCATTGTGTAAATGTAAACATATACATCTGGAAACAAAGAATATAGGACATAGTCCCCCATTCTGTAAGTATCTTAGGAAGCAGTGCCTGAAAAAGATTTGGGAACTGTTGTGGATAATCAGCTGAACATGAGCTCCCCATGTGATGCTGTGGCCAACAGAACTAAAGACGATCCTATGATGCATAAATGGGAATCTCGCATAGGAGTAGAGATGTTATTTTACCTCTGTACTTCACACTGGTGTGACCGCTGCTGGATTATCCAGTTTTGCTGTCCACAAAGGCTACTGATAAATTGGAGAGGGTTTTGGAGACAAGCTACAAGGATTAAAAAACATGCCTTATAGTGACATACTCAATGAGCTCAAGCTATTTAGCATAATAAGGGGAAAGCTAAGGGATGACTTGTGTACAGTCTGTAAGTACTACTGTGGAACAAATATTTAACAATGGCTCATCTATCTAAACAGAAAGGAAATGTTCAATCCAATGGCTGGAAGTTGAAGCTAGACAACTCCAGACTGGAAATAGGATATACATTTTGTCATTGGAACAGTTTACCAAGGGCTGTGGTAAATTCTCCATCCCTGACAATTTTTAAAGCAAGACAGATCTTCCCCAAATAACCCTTAGTCTGTCCTCCTGTGTAGCACATAGGCTCTAAGTGAGCACACTGGTCCCTTCTGGCCTTGGGGTATGTCTATACTTACCTCCGGGTTCGGCGGTAAGCAATCGATCTTCTGGGCTCGATTTATCGCATCTTGTCTAGACGCGATAAATCGATCCCGGAAGTGCTCGCCATCGACACCGGTACTCCTGCTCCGCGAGAGGAGTACGCGGAGTCGACGGGGGAGCCTGCCTGCCGCGTGTGGACCCGCGGTAAGTACCTTGTAGTTCGAACTAAGGTACATCGACTTCAGCTACGTTATTCACGTAGCTGAAGTTGCGTATCTTAGTTCGAACTGGGGGGTTAGTGTGGACCAGCCCTTGGATTCTACAAGTCTGTGAATAGGAACCTAGACACTGAACTCAGGCTTTGTGAACCCCAGTGACTTTTTAGGGGCTTCTTTGTGAATCTAGCCCTGAGTGTTTATTATGTACTCTTAACACGAAGTAATCCGCACAGGAGGCCTGTTAATGTCTTCATCTACAAAAGGGGACTATGAGGCACATGACTTTCTCAAAACTATGAATATCTCTCTCTCATTCCTTAAAGGTCAAATTTGTTATTCTTCCCCAAAGTTTCTTTTTTGAAGTTTTGACTTGGAAATACAATTGAAACTTGAGCTCTAAAGTAGTGTCTTGAATTGTGGACAAGAAAAAGATTGGTTACTGAGATATTAGCCAGATGTTAATTGTGCATCTTGACTTGTTTTAAAAATTAGCAAAAAAACCAAATTTTTAAAAAATGACAGACTTAAAAATTAAGCTCAGATTCATTTTCCACTTGCTGTGCACATCTCTCTCATTCCTTTAGTGGGAGCTGCATGTTAGTTAAGAGGAAATATAACCTACTATCTGTAAATGTGCTGCTTTAAATTTGTGCTTGTAATGATATGTTTAAACACAATAAACCATGTCCACACTGGCTGTTATGTAATTTAAGTTTTAATAACCTTTTCTTCTCCCCCATTTAGTATGCACCAGGATAACCATGGCTACATTTGCCTGCTTATTCAGGGAGCTACAAAAGAAGACGCTGGTTGGTATACTGTGTCAGCTAAGAATGAGGCTGGGATTGTGTCCTGCACTGCCAGGCTTGATGTTTATAGTAAGTGCGTTCTATTCTGAGATATGCAGTTAAATTAAACCAATCTTCCCAAAAACCAGCAGTTCTAAAAACTTTAGTTTATACCACAAAGGTTTACACTGATCTCTTTCTCTTTTGTTTATAGTTTCTTCACAATAATAATGATCCTCATCAAGACAGCAAATACTCTGTCAAAGTATACTTCACCACCTTTCAAATACTTACACAAACCAAGCATGCTGATTTCTTTACTTGCTTAGAATACTACATCTAGCTTATTTACACATGCATCCTTATCAGTAACTCTAGAAAGCAGCATGACATTTTCTTGTGGTCCTTCTTACAATGCTCTGCTAGCATCAGCTTTTAACCTTTATTAGTATTACCTAAACACACTTGAGACGGGTGCCAATGGCAGATTCTGTTGTAGTTTACTACTTAGACCAGTACAGTTTCCCTATTGTGAACTGATCTTAAACCAAAATTAGATAATGTTGGACAGCAATCTGACCTGTTTATCATTCTGAGCAAAATGTTTGTTCTTGTTAAGTTCACACAATAATGGGGTGGTGATGGTGTAACTTGTTACAAAGCAACAGCTCTGAACAGGACTCTGCCTAGCTTTGTCACACCACATCGCAGAGGGGGACAAGGATAATCTGATTTGTTCCATGGGGCACCCACTGGAGTAATTCCATTGAAGATCAATTACATTAGTGGGAGATTAGAATCTGGCCTGGTATTTTCACCCCGGTGGGGAGGAATGTCTTGCAGTGTTCTGCAGTAACTTTTCTGGACATCTTGGGAGCAGCAATTTTGTACTTGGCCAGGGGGAATGTAGTCACAATGCACATCTTTCAGAAGTAAGGGTGGGAGGTGGTTGAGAAGGCTTAGCTGGTGGGTTACACAGCAAAATAGTGGAGGCAAACAATTTACAGTCTTTTCTTGTGCAGTAAGGACATGACAAAGTGAGAGCAGTGGAGGAGAGAACAGGGTTGGCTGTTATGTAAATCAGTACATAAAGTAAAAAATCTAGAGTTGCTAATTCCCTGCCATTCAAGTGAAAAAATTTATCGGGAGTTTATAAAGAACTGAACAGTACAGGAGTGTGCCTATAATACTTCTGTTATCTGAGTTAAGAAGGGTGAACCTAATTTGTTTTTTTTTTTTTTTCAAATCTATAGCTCAGTGGCAACAACAACCTCAAACCACCAAGCCAAAGAAGGTGCGTCCCTCAGCCAGTCGATATGCAGCACTTTCTGACCAAGGACTAGACATCAAGGCAGCATTCCAGCCTGAAGCAAACCCAGTTCATCTGACATTGCAGTCCGGCTTGGTAGAGAGCGATGACCTGTAGACCTGAGCTGCCAGATCCATCATTTTCTTTCAAAGCAGAAACACTGAAAGCCATTGCCTTGACCAATGATTCTTCTATGTCACTTTATGTAAAGCCAGACACCTTCAAGTACAAAAATCCCCACCTTAACCATATATTTCTTATTCCTACCAAATTAGGATAGGTAGCTGATTAATAGAAATGTTCACATTGCACAGAAAATCACATTCACTGTTCAGTTCCTTATGCCTATATTGCTAGAACTCTTATGAATAACCTTTTTCATAAAGGCCAAAATACTGAACTGAACCAGATTTTTCAGAAGTAAACAGTACAGTATTTATCACTGAGTTCCTTCCTAAGCAAGATGTAGATGCTACATGGTATTAATGGTGTGAGAAGTTTCATTTAAGGCTATTAGACCATAAAGGAAATTAACATGTATGGTTATCTTTTTACAATTCAAAATGGCAATGCAGCGTGATAGCTACAGAGAACAAGTGCAATATTGTAAGAATAAAACAAACGAATACCTTGTCTCTACAATGAGAAAGGAAATACATGCCTTAAAATGTTAGAACTGCCAATACTATATAGCAAGGCTGACACCTTTGTTCTTAAAAAAAGTTCTTATTTTTTTTTCTTTTTTTGGCCAGCGAGGAGACTTATTTACAACCATACTACAAGGCTAATTTAAGCATAAATAATTGAACCTAGTCAAAATAATGAGAGCTGAGGCATAATACACTACTACAGACTATAAATCCTAGCACCCACGTAAGGGATACTTTTGGGAGAGAGAAAAATGCCAACAGTATAGTTTTACTACATAAGGTTAGCAAAAAGGGGGAAAACTATAGATGTTTTTAGTGTAGTTTTTTTTTTTTTTTTTTAAACAGATCCTGAAAACTAACAGAACACTGCCATTCACACATTTGAAATTCCCAGGTCAGCAGAAAGCTATGGAGTTTATGTAGTGGACATTTATGATTGTGTAGAGCTTGTGAATATGTATGAGGATTTTAGGAATGTAGAGCACGTGGAAAAAATGGACTGAGTCTGCAATCGGAGTTTAAATGACAAGCACATATCATAGGGGGTAGGCTAGTAGAATGAAGGTGGAGAAAAACAGATGTGCCATTATATTATTTTCTTAAGACAACATGTGTAGGTGGTGAATGATAAATATTTGTTTTCTTCCCTAGTGTACGATACCATGCTGTGGCTAGGGACTGCGTGCAGTAGGTGAAGACTTTAGAATAGAGGCTACTTTCAGAATGCAAAGCAATTCCACATCAAACTGGACTCTACCTAGTCTACTGTACTAGGCAGTTTTGACTCTGAACCAATTAGTTTAGTTGAGAGGGCAGAAGAATTTTAATTGGGCCTAATGGGGAAAAAATTGAGGTATTAATGGTACGAGAGTACTTTGATATAAAAGGAACACGCTGTATTCCTTATATGAAGCACATATGGTTATCTTTCATTATTTATAATAAAAAGTGTTGAAATCTATCTCAGCTCAGTTATTCAAGTCCATTATTAGTTTATTGTTTGTGTACTACCATATATTTTGCATTACTGCTATACATATATTGTTTCATACCTCTTTGTAAGTATACAAAACAAGTTTTTTTTAGTGACTAAACTTTAGCACAGAAGATAGTACTATTCTATGCAGATCGGTGCAGGTTATGACCACAGTTACAGGCACTGCTTATCTAAATTAATATCATACAGTCTGTCATATAGAAATATCCTATCTATATTTTAAAGTATGTCTTATTTGCCAAGTTTTTCTTGACTGCTAATTTACTGTTTGTTTAGCTTAACTAGCATTATTTTGACACCTTTTATTTGTATTTATAAAAAAAGTACTATCATTACTTTGGATTGTTGTGCTGACATAATGTGGGTTTAGCATCAATAAATATTACACAATAGAAAATTGTCTTTTTCTGGGCAAAAGTAGTCATAGCTATTTCTATAAAGGTATCCAAATACAGAATTTGGAAATTTAACACAAGACCGACAAGATTAGGGTTGTGAGCTGGAAATAAAGAGATTTTTGAAGTTTCCCTAAACCAAATCTGACCCTTCTTAGAATCTCCTTCGCTGATTTAAACCTGGGGGGTGGGGGAAGGACCCTTTTATTACGGTGTAATAGTTTAGTTTTAAAAATGTTTCATATTCAATGTGTATCTCCATTCATCCTGCACACATTGTTGCATTTGAACTGTCTATAATACCCAAACCATGGTACTTACCCAGTAGAAGAGGGACTGTAATTGTGTTTTAGAGGCCATCTTGTGATTAAGATCAGTTCTTGATTATGTTTCTATTTAAAAAAAACAACAACTATTTAGTAGGTACACAGAATTGTTTGGCAAACGGCCACATTTTCTAACACGTTATTTAGCTGCCTTAAAGTACCATTATCCTAGTGTAAGAACAGACTTTGCCCAAAGAAAGACAGTCCTCACTCTAAATTGCAAAACACTAAATCCAAGAAGGAAAACAATGTTGTACTCCATATGTTGCAAGTTTGCCCTCCATGTAGAGAATCAAATTATTCATTAAAGGTCTAATTTACTATTTGGTTTATATTTAGGAACAGTTCCTTACAATTAACCCTACAGCAACTCACTCAGCAAAACAGAGTCCTGACACAAGTGATAGTAATGCCATTGATACCAATGGTGTTGCCCCTGCTTATTTACTACAGCAGTATTTGGCACAGTAAATTAAATCTGATGGGGCTTTTGAGAACCAGAGTACTTGTTTCATAAAACAGCTTATTCCTCTAATTTGCTATTGGTGTGTTAAAAGTAGCTCCCATCAAATAGTTTATGTAAACATTTTGCTTCTCAGACAAAATGTCTATCCTTGACTTTCTTTATACATACCCATGCACAAATCAGGGATGGAAATATTGTTTAAAAAGTTAACCGGTTAACCAAGGTCGCAGCCAGGGCTGGGGCCCCTCCAGCCGGCCAGCACAAGGCAGCCCGGGGGCCCCTCCAGCCAGGGCGATGGGGTTAACAGTTAAGGTCAGTTAACCTTTTACATCCCTAGCACAAATAATAAAATCAGGTCTTTAACTAAAAAGTAAGGCTGTTTACAGCACAGCCAAGTTTTTAATTACTATTTTTAAACATTGAGGATGTTGTGGGTTTACCAATGCAGAAAAATAAATCAGTGTAGCATAAGCAGGGAGAGACATATGTGCTTGCCAAAAGGCTACAAACCTATGTGAAATTCACTGACTCATCAAGGTTATTTTATGGAGGGAAATTTAAATTTCCCAGCCAACTACACCCAACTGAGGCTACCCACTGACACTCTCTGTATAATTGATAATGTAACTAGTTACTTTAGACCAAAGAGTTCTCCACTGTCTCAAAGTCCTCTGCAATTACATTTTTAAAATGTGTTAGAAACCCTCTCCATTCAAGCATATTTACAAAACAATTCAAGACTACTTCATAAGGTGGCTGCATCTAAAGTTTCAAAGAGCTATTGGGGGGAGGAGGAAGCCTCCCATTAACAGCAATAGGAATGAGGTGGCTGAATCCACCCATTTTACATAGAATGTGTTCTCAGATTTTTGTTTTTTTTAGTCTATGGACCACATGTTAATACATTGCGTCTTGCTGACTAGCTACCTTCACTTTCTTGATTACAAAAACTTGGTGGCACCTACAGCAGTTGCTTACATAATCTATATAGGAGTTTTACCTACTTTTAATAGCTGGATACAAACATCCAGCACTTCATGATGTTTCACAGCTATTTGGATCAAAGGCAAATGAACCAAACTGCACAATTTGGGAACACCCGGCTTTGAAAAGTTTAACTTTTTCAGATACATTACCTTTTAAACATTTTTCTGCAATTTGTATGGTAATGAACACCTCAATTTTTTAAAAACACATCTTATCTCTGCCTCCAGCCCAGGTAAATAGCCTTTGTGCCCAGTACTTCATGGGGGCTTAAACTTTCCCCTGACTCAATAGAGCAGCAGTTCTCAAACTTTTGTACTGGTGATCCCTTTCACATACAAAGCCTCTGAGTGCGACCCCCCCCTTAAAACACATTTTAATATATTTAACACCATTATAAATGCTGGAGGCTGACAGCTCGCAACCCTCCATGTAATAACCTCGCGTTCCCCTGTGGGGTGCTGATCCCCCGTTTGAGAAGAGGATCTGCTCCACTGCTACCAGTTCAGCCTCCAAGTCATAATAGGCTATAATGCTTCTATGTGTATGCCTCACCTAGGGAGGGGAGGGAATCATCTAATCCAACTAGATTAATCATCCAGCAGTTTTCCCCCCTCTATCAATTCCCACCCTTTATGGTGCAGATAGAGTTCAGCACGCTACAGTTGAGAGCACCTGCACCAACTCCCCAGACTCACTCCTTATTATGTATTATAGGGATTATGGCTCAGTTCCCCTTATTGATCATTCTGCACCTGTGATAAGCCGGATTTGCCCACATTAATCTAGTTCTCAAATGGCAACAAACATTTCCCCTCCGCACCCTTCTGCTGTTTATCATGTGACTTAAATAGTCATGGTTCAATACAAAGAAGAAGATATACTCCTGGAACCCAAGGAGTTCACAATCTATATCATACAGTATGCCCATTCTTTGGGTCTGTAAGCTGGAATTTGGATAAGGCAAGCATTACTTAAAGGTTAGGTGCAAAGACAAAATAAACTGATTAAATCCTATGCTGCACTATGTTCCTACTAAAAGATCTGGGGGTTTAAAATAAGGCTCAAGTGCACTCCTAGGGAGAAAGTCCAGACTAAGAAGCATCAATACCTGCAGGGAAATGACCTCATAAATGCATAAAGAAGAGCTGAGACTAACTTGGATGCAGTGACTCTAAAGTGACTGCAGTGCCATATATAAAACACTGGTGAAGGGTCAGACTCTACTACTGACCTCACCTTCTACTTCTGTAATAGTACAACTAAGCCAGAAACATCTTCACAGCACAAGAGATGGGGGAAAAGAATAGTAGATGGCCACTGCTCAGACTGATTAGATCAATTACAGCAGAAGCTATAAAATCTCATCACACAGAACGGGCTAGATTTTGCCAGACTCCATTTTTTAACCATTTAGCTAAATATGCTGTTAAAATTGTTTGGGTCAAATTTTGACCTAAAGTTAGCAAAGAACAACTCTCCCAAAGTACAGCTAAAAGGGGGAATGGTATTCCCTCATTTCCATTATGCAATTGCTCAATTTAAAGCCCTCTGCCATTGTTCTAAATACTATCCACAGTGGTTTGAAACAGAACTATACTTGTCAACTCTTTTCCACTTCTGAACTCTAAGCTATCCCTTCCCACATGATAGACAGCATATTTGCTTATTCTTTGCAAATTTTAAGAGACTATTTAAATATCTAAAATTACAGGTTTTTATCTGCAGTACTTTCCTTAGTTCCCAACGAAGGATTATCATTTTGTATGAAAAAGACTGGAAGAAACACAGCATCGTAATATTTCACCACTGCCCTCTATGACTTCCTAATTGATACATTTCTTCTCCCACAAGTCTTTAGAATTCAGCACTTTCCTACACAAACCACTAAGTGAATTTGAGAGACTACAGATAAACCAACTTCCATTAATTCTGTATTTACTTTTGCTATTCAGCCTCGTGTCAGCTATTAATTCACATATTTCAGTCTGACCAAAAATAGTTTAATTTCCCTTAGTAGGTGGAATCCTGCAATGACTTTCACAAACATGTCAGTAATATTTTCATTGGTGTAACCCATCTAATAACCAAGTAGCAAATTCTATACAGGGCATAAGAATGGTAATCACAATAGTGTATACCACAAGAGCAATTCCCTTATGAAGCGGAGAATGAAAGATTTAAGAAGAAACTAAGTTTGTCTCTCTCCAATGTTCCACCCAAAATAATCAGTTATATAGCTTGTATACTGTGTGGATTTCTAACTATAAAAGTACATATGTAATATTACACTATTCTCTGCTGCCAGTTCCCTCAGAAGTAATGTACATTACATAAACATTTAAGGAAAGCCTGATGGACAAAAGTAGAGTTGTCTTAGTGAAAAAACTGTTACCTCTTGTAACTGTTGTTCTTCGAGATGTGTTACTCCTGTCCATTCCACTAGCTGTGTGCATGCACCGCGTGCACGATCGCCGGAAAGCTTTTCCCTAGCGATGCCAATCGGGTCGGCTATGGAGACCCTTAGAGTGGCACCTTTATGGCAGTGTATATAGGTCCCTGCTGACCCGCTGAGTTCCTTCTTGCCACAGTACTCCGACAGTGGGGAGGCGGGCAGGATTTGGAATGGACATGAGCAACACATCTCGAAGAACAACAGTTACGAGAGGTAAGTAACCGTTCTTTCCTTCTTCGAGTGATTGCTCATGTGCATTCCAATAGGTGACTTCCAAGCAGTTACCCTGAGGGACAGGTCGGAGTTCACCTAATCGCCAAATGTAGGACTGCCTTACCAAACCCAGCATCATGGCGTAATGATGGATAATGGCATAGTGAGAAGTGAAGGTGTGAACTGAAGACCAGGTTGCCACCTTGCAGATGGCCTAGATAGGGACCTGTGCCAGGAATGCTGCGGATGCCGCCTGCGCTCTGGGGGGCTGGAACTTTAGCCAGGTCATAGCAAGTCCTGATGCAGGACGTGATCCATGACGAGATGTGCTGTGATGAGATCGGGAGTCCCCTCATTCTTTCAGCTATAGCAATAAAGAGCTGCAGTGATTTACGAAACGGCTTTGTGCGTTCAACGTAAAATGCTAAGGCACGTCTAACGTCCAAGGAATGGAACATGTGCTCCCTGTTAGTGGCATGGGGTTTAGGAAAGAACACAGGTAAAAATATATCCAGGTTCACATGAAACTGGGAGACAACCTTAGGCAGGAA